CAACCTGTAGGTCTCAGTGGAAGCATTCACAGAAAACTTGCCCAAAATATATGAGTCAAAAATACAAAAATACATAAATAAATACAAAGTCATACCATGTTGTGTGTGACTACCCACTGACACTGATCCCCTCAGTTCCTAACATAAAAGGTAAGGCAAAGGAAAACTGTGAAACTCAGAGAAAATTTCTGGCAAAAGATTTATAAATCTGGTCATTTTTCCTCAATAACATGAAAACTGCTAGTTTAGCAATTAGCACAATAATCCCTTCACAATCTCATAAAACCCAACCATTTATAGATCCTGAATGAGAACCTTCCTTTTCAACAGTTCTTACCACCAAATCAAAAGACATTAAGAATTATACCATTCAGATTAATTCCTTCCAGCCTAAGGGCTAGAAGCTTACTTCCCTTTTAATTGAAGGTAAAAATCTCACATAATCCAGTGACTCCAGAGGCTTCAACTATGAGGAAAACTAATTCAGAAAGAAATTTAAATCACAAGTGGCAACACCAACACATTAAGCAATGCTTTTCAATTGAAAGGTACAGGAGACTTTCAGACCTCTTCCTAGGGTATAAAATGATAAACATTGAAAGGATTCAAGCCCACAAAGTACTCAGACAAAATTCTTTTGCTTCATGAAAAAAACAACTTCTACAAAGAGCACAAAAATAATAAAATTAGGGAATCATTTATGGCTGTTACATTATTATTATTATTATCATCATTATTATTATTAATAATAATAGTAATAATAATGGGCCAAACAATTAATCATAGTCCCTATTTTGGTAAAAGTCTCACTGAGTTATACTGTTATTTTGGTGTGGATTTGGTTTAGCACAGATATTTCATTCTACAACTGATTCTCAAAATAAAGACAGAGTAGTGCAAACAACTACATCAAAGTCTGATGTGTCATGTAGCAATGAATATTTCTGTTGGAAATTTACTTGTTTTCTTTTTAAAGTAGTGGTATATCTAGGTCTCCCTGAGATTAGGAACATTAACTATTCTGGGTGTGATTCCTTTGTGACTTCATTGAATTTCTGTAGTACCTGGGGAATGGAAAAACCTTAAGAGCAGTTACAGTCATAATGAACCTGAGGACTGTAAATAAAAAAGATATTAAAAATTAGGCCTGAAAAACTTCAGATGGTAGCAAGTGTTAGTGGGGAGCTGGAGACAATCATATTATCTCAAGAAATTCTCACATGTTCCTGGTTAATGTTTTCAGTTGTTAAGCACCTCTAACAAAGACAGACTTTCACCTACTTTATATTCATAATGACTGATGCAAATTTACCTCCTTTTGAGGCAGGGGGTCAAGTGTTTAAGTTCATTCTATAATAAGCAATATCTGCATAGACTTTTGATGTATAATAATGAGGCACGTTTTGCAGAGACATTAAAAATCGAGGCCCACAAAAATGAGCTATTTGTGGATTTAATTCACCAGTGGCATATAAAACCCAAAACAGAAGGACTGAAAAGATCATAAATACATTTTCAAATTTTGTGTCTAGCCTCCCATAGTATGCAGCCTTGTTTTTTATTGTGTGGTTCAGTATTAAAAGAAAAGGATTCAAGAGTTCTCACTGTATATGGACAATGAAGGCATGCACCATGAGAGCTGTGGCTGTGGCAAAGAATCTCAACATAAATTTGCACACATCTATTTTTCCAAATATAAGGCTCTCCTGGCAGGCAGTCAATCATGCAGGAATTGCCAAGGCTCTGTAGATAGGGCAATTATAATTCTCTGTGCACTGCTGCTAGACCACCTGCATGTTCACATGTGATGGAAGTCGGATTTGAACCCAGCTCTCAGGAGATGAATGCCAACCCACTGCTATTTACTATCAGCCTGTTTTTCATTATCTTTTATTCTAATTAAGAAACACTATTTATAACTACACCTGACAAACAGCTAAGCATGGTGGAAGCTAGCAGATGTACCTTGTGCCATAAAACTTGGAGCTGAGATATTACATTCATTATGGGGGTGGGGGGATTATACAAAGCCCATGTTTTCATGTATCATGCTTTGCTTTCATCAACATTGTACTGCAGTTGGAAATGCGTAATGTTTTGTGATCATATAGATAGAGAATGTCAAATTCTGCTTCAGATAATGTTTCCAATATTTTTATTGGAAGTATGCCTGTAGTTTTTTCATTAATGAATTCTATTAGATTCATTAAAATAACATTTTACTTGAAAAAATATTGGAAAATGAAAATTTAATGATGTCAAATGAGTCATCATTTCTCTATCAAAAGTCTCATCAGAAAATGAAAGGAAAAACAGTTCTACCACTTATTTAAAAGAGCACTTTAGACTACTAGCTGTAGTACTCCATCTAAACAAAATACAGAAAATTATGAAAGAATATAACTGTTACTCTAGTATGTTTCACTTAATGGAAGCTTCTAGGAAATATTTTAAATTCATCTGCTTCTGACTGGATGATAAACAAATAACCACATGCTGAAGCAATAAAAATAAATTACTCTGCCAACTTCCCTCTGAAGTGTCACCATGCAGGATGATACATATTTCAAAACATTAAACTTTATCTCCATCTAGGCTCAGGACTGAGTGAATTTTACATGGAAACCAAGCATTTCATATTGGATAAACTAAATAGCAAAAAAAATTTTGATTTCCAAAGGTACACATTTGTTTGTTCGCTTTACTGGAGCACTGGCAAACAACAAACTCAGGCTTTTCATGGTTTAAAGATAGGACACTCCCTATGGCATCCTCTTTTTGTGATGGTGTGTACAAATTTCAAAATAGTTGAGAATTTAAAACTAATTGCCAATACAAACCATGCTGCAAAAATGTATCCCATGCACACTTTTGAAAACATTAGTCATAATTGGATAATTTTCACACCCACAGCAGGGTAAGGGAAAATAATTTAAAACAAAATATCATTTGGGTGCAAAACTGTCTCTCAAGGCTTTCAGAATAATAGGCAATGGCATGAAGATATGCCTTAAATCAATAGCAGGAAACCAGGCAAGAGAAATATCTAGACAGGAGCTCTACAGGGCAGCATGGAAACAAAGTGGGTACTAAAACAAATATTATTTTTCATATTTTCCCAGCAATTACGCTCCTCATCCAAATCCCTAGGAAGTGACTGGGGTTTGCGTTATACTTTCAGCACTGGCATGGTAAGAGTTTTGATTCCCCTGACCTCTGCATACAAAGTCACACGCCGAGGTCCCTGCCAAGCAGGATTGTAGTCTGGATCCTTCTGGGATCTCCCTGGCAGGGAACTTGCCTGGCGGGAGCAGGGCACAGTGGGGCTGTGGGCACAGCCAGGAGCAGGGGCTCCGCAGCCCCAGCCCCAGCGCTCTGCACGCACTTACAGCCAGTCCATAACTGGGCTCAGGGCTGCTTCTGGGCACGGGGAGCTCTGGCACGTACAGTAAGCACAGCTTTCCTCCAAGTAACCAATTCCTTTGGGAATGACACGAATCGGCAGGCCGGTTAGGGTAACACAGATGAAGAGCTCATTTTGTGTTGGGAAGGAAAAAAGCCAAACCAAGAGATGAAAGAGGACATTATGTTTTTCATGCAAAATGAAAAGTTTGCTAGGTGATTTCATTAACAAAAGACCACGACAATAGGTACTCGGGTAAAGAGAACAACTTCTGACCTTGAAATTGCGTGCTAAATAAATTACCTCAGAGCGAAAGTGATGAGTTCTCATGACAGCATCTGGAAGGGAAGCAGAAAGAGACACAGGCTCCACCAGCCGCACCTGGCATTTCGCCCCGGCTAACGGGGTTACCCCGCCGCTCGCCCTCCGGCGCACACTCCGGGACGGCTCTGGCCCCTCGGGCACAGCCGGCAGCTCCGCCCGGCATTTATATTTAATTCATCGCGGAGAAGTTGGGCATAAAGTTCTGCTGAGCTCTGACACACCGGGGAGGGCTGGGGGGGGGGTTTCCCAGCCTCTCACCTCTCTCCCTCTAGCCGAGCTTTCGCTGAGGGATGGGTGGAGACAAGGCTGCCGCAGTCCTGGGCTCGGCTTGAATTTTCTTTAAAGCCTTTGCCCGGCTAAACCGTGCCACGGCGGCCCTCCGGCGGCACAAAGCCGGGGATGGGCCGGGGACACCCCCCGCCGCCCTCAGGGAGCGGCAGCGTCTCTTACCTCGGCTCCTTGAGCGACCTGAAAAGACGGATTTGATGGGATGCCTCCCTTTCTGGAGCCTGCGGTGCCAGCAACAGAAGAATAAAATCGTGGCAATGGTCCCCAGCAGCAGCAGGAGCAAGAAGAGGGCGCACTGGATGCTGTAGGGTCTCAGCAGGACCAGGAAAGCCGCGGCGATCATGGCTCAAGCGCCCGGCTGCCCCTGTGCGTGCGCGGGTCTGCGGCGAGCGGCGAGGGGCCGGGCAGCGCCGGGCAGCCTCTCCCCCCGGCAGCGGGGCGGGCATCGCCGCCGGCACCGCGCTGCTGGAGCCGGCAGCCGGGCGGGAGGCGGCGGCGCGGGGGAGGAGGAGGAGGAGGAGGAGGAGAAGGAGGAGGAGCGGGATGGGATTCAGGCCGTGACTCAGCAGCAGCAGCAGCCGCGGCTGCGATGGTTGCGGTGGGGCTGCCCCTCCGTGCCCGCCCGGCTGCCGGGAGCGGGGAGCGCGGCGGGCAGAGCCGGAGCGCCCCGGGCAGCGGCGGGCGGGGCGGGGCCGGCGCCGCATGGCAGCGGGCGCGGGCACGGCGGGGCGGGGCGGCAGCGGCAGCAGGAGGGGGAGGAGGAGAAGGAAGAAGGTGCCGCCACCGTCGGGAGGGAGGCAGGAGCACGGAGCGGTGCATCCCGCCGCCGGGGAGGCTCGGCCGGTGACATCGCCTCTGGAGCTGCCGAGAGAGTCGGAAAATGGCTGCTGCGAGGTACCGGGGGACCCCCGGGGGAAAAGAGGGGCTGCCACCGAGGGGCGCGGGGTGTCGGCAGCGGCGGGGAGCCGCGCAGGTCCGTGGGGGAAGCGGGTTTGTGGTGTACCCTGTACCCGAAGCGTCGGTCGAGGCCGGTTTCGTGGCGGGGGAAGGGGTTGGGAAATGATAACGAGACCCATCCTGACAAGGTGAGCAGGGCCCTGACAGGGTGTGGGGCTGCCCCGTGTCCCCTATGGCGGCTGCGGGCGGGACGGGACAGGGTGCCCTGCGCTGCCCGGCCGTGCCCTGCGCACAGCAGCACCTGCGGGAAACTGCAAGGCGCTGCAGGCAATGTCAGCCCGTGCCCTTCCCTCGCGCCGGGCCCCAGCTGGTGCTGCGGCATCCAAATCCTGCCATGAGCAGGTCGCTAACGCAGGGGGTAACAAGAGCTCACCTGTGCCGCTCTTTCTGCCTCTGCAGTTGTTATTGTGATAGCCTCTGAAAGTCTGGACTGTTTCGAAATGCAGTTCTAAACTCCCTCACAGACACGCAGAAAGAAAAAAAAATCACTAGCTGAAAATATAGCCAGGTACCATTTTGTGTTTACTCATGTTACTGGGGGGAAAAGCTAATTCAAGGCAAAACTCATATGCTTTTCATGCATCTTTGACGTGAGCACACAAATCTGTAGAGCATTTCCAAAATTTCATAGAAATAATTAAAATCTCTGTGTAAATATTGGAGAAACATTGAAATGTTACTGCTTTATGCGACTGACATGAAGTTGCAGAAAAGCATACATGTAAATTTAGGTTAAACTAAAAAATAAGCAAGCTCAAAAGGCAGAGAGGGAAATGTGTCTGTGGTAGTTTAAATAAGAACTGGAAAAATAATCTCTAGATTAGTAAAATTAATGTATCAGTGTGCTAATAACATTGTAACACTTTACTGTACCCTTAAGGTTAATAACATTGTAATGCTTTATTGTACCCTTAAGGTGAAGGAAATCTGTTATCATCCAAAGATAGCGGGGGTGTAAGTAAAAAAAGAAAAAAAATTGGGTTTTAGGTCTATAATAATTTATTCCAGGTATTTCATATCATTTCATTCTATACACCAAGACTGAGCCAGAATAATCTGTCCTATTACTTTGTAAAATGGAAAGTTGCTACATTGCAGCCATGGATTCAAAGCTTTCCCTGACTGCCTGGAAGATGCCAAATGCTGTAAGGTTGTGTTGCATCACGTGGTGCAATATTGAAATCTTTCCTAATACCGCAGTACACTGCAGTAGAATGGTTTTAATGCAGATTACCTGGAGATTATTCAAACAGTCCACGTTACCTCACCGAAACACGAAGGAAATTGGTGTGATCCTCCTGGCATCATGCTGCAGTGCCATGCTGCAGGATATTGCAGGAGCAGGAAACTTTTTGACACCTTTAGCTCTGCACTGATTTATTGTTTCAGAGTGGGATGATAGAGCAAAAGTAGCACGGCAGTGACTGCACAGTAAATCACAGAAAACTGAGGGGGAGCAGTTCTTTTCACATTGTTCTCAGGTAGCAGCGTGTAGAAATCATCTGACAGACAAATCTCTAGTGAAAGCTTTTTAGTTTAAGGTTTATAGCTTTTCCCTTCTAAGAGTTAGAGCTCACTGGTGTCTTGAGGATAATATTTTTCCAAAAGTATATAATAAATTTCATGACAGCTGCTTAATTTTTTTTTATTCAAATGTGAAAGAGAGTACAGTTTAGTCCAAGAAATGCTGACATGCATGATTTTTCAGAGAGCTGCTGCTCCAGGCTTTTGAGTCAACTGTCTCACACATACACCAAATTGCTGCTCTGGCTTTCATTATATTCATATTCTGTATTTGTTAAATACTGCAGGGTATGGTACAATGGTTAAAATATTACTTCCACGGTGAATAATTTAAAGCGCTGAAGTTACTACACATTAAAAAAAGGCAAATTATATGTGGGTAGGTTTTTTCCCCGAATAGTGATAAAGAGAATTTAAGATAAGCTTTATATGTATCACACTTTTAATCTAAGATTCTTTACAGAATGTTTTTTAGGGGACTTTTCCTAAATCTTAAGGATGATAAACAGAGAAGACAAAAGAAATGAAGAGAGGAGGTTAAAACAAAACCTCTCATCTGAGATTTGACCTCAGAAGGGAAATCCTGGAGGTGAAGCCATTGCAGAGAAGAAGTAAAAGAAGGTAACAAAGCCTTAAGACTAACTGTGATCAAGGGGAGTGGAATGGGAGGGGAAGCTGTTGAGAAGTGCAATTAAGTATTTTATAATCCAAGAAGATAGTTATTGATTCTGCAATAAGCTAGGGGTCCCTGTTGCCATTTCAGAGTACACATAATGTGAGCGCACTTTTGTAGAGTTGTGAGCAGGTGGGATGTAGGGTCCTGCAGATGCTTGTTCTGACGGGGACCGCAGGCAAATAGAGCAGTGACAAAGTCACTGGCATTGGTGAAGCTTTTGGGAAGTGTGGGAAGCAGCCTTTCACTTGAGCAATGCTGAGGGACGAGGTGGTGATAATTATTTGGTCAGAGGGATCAAAAAGGGAAGTTCTGCTTCAGAGAACCCACAGGGAAGAGGTGACCAGCAAAATATTTGGAAGTGGAAAGGCATAGGAGGATGTTTCTGTGGTTACAGTTACTCTTGAATGCAGTTTACCTATTTTCTCAAGTTGGCGAGGCAGGGATACAACACAGAAATTGTGTTGCGCTTCTGCAGTTTAATGTAAGAGTTGAACGGGGAAACAGTAGCAGCCCTCCTGCAGGGAGAAAAGGCAGTGTTGACCTCAAATATTCTTTCAGCTGGTCTCTTATGAAAACCTGTTCTGACTTAGCAGTCTTGCCCAGCAAGGCTGAAGGAGGAGATCCTTTTTTCCCTTACCCTTGTCCTGCTTGCAGAATTGCAGTACAGTCTCTGGGCCAATGCATATTCCTTGATGATTTAGATGATGTTCAGCCACACCTTTTAAAAGAAACAAAAAATTCTAGCTGAGTGCCATAGGTTAGGCTGACAGACAAAAAAGAGTGCAAAAAGAAAACATGATTGTTGCCATTATAGTGCAAGAGTTCTATTGTCAGTACATTGCAAGGGTTCCATATTGCTGGAGTTTTGTACCTCCTTGATGTTTCTTGTAGGCAGCTCCTCCAGGTACTGACTCTTCTTTGTCCTCACAGCAGCCAGCTGACTCCAGTTCCCCTAAACCAACCAATCCACTCTTTTATAACACTCTTCTTATTGGCTACAGGTGTGGTCTGTTAACATCAGGCCTGCTCCTAATCCTTAATAATTGGCTCAGCTGCAACTCTTTAGGGGATGAGATTACATTCTATAGCACCTTTATTTACCCATACTGTACCCCCTACACATGATGGCATTTTGAGTGGAGAAACCATGTATTCAGAGGTCTGGTGGCTTCCCCCCGTGTGAGCCATGGGATTCACGGGCACTCCACAGCTCTCCTCCTGCAGACTGAGGCTTTGTACACCTCGTTTTGCAGCTGTAAAACTCCCTGTGTCAGTGAGCTGGGGGAGAAAAGGTCACATGCTGGACCTGGTGAGGTGGACATAAGAGTACGAGATGATGCATGAAATTATTTCAGAAGAGTAGCTGAATGAGTGAAAGGCTAAGATCCCCTCTTTTCACTGGTATGTAGGTATGCTTTAAGGGCTGTGTTTGTATTGATTAATTATAATTGAGTGAAATATTCTGTCTAAATGACTACTTAACTGGTAAGAAGGGTTCTCTAATAATCTAATACTTTCTAACAAAATATTTGGGTTTTTCTCATCAAACAAGAACCAAAGTAAACAAAGTCAAAACCAAAGAAGCAAGCAAATAAAATACAGGAGACATAGTAACTGAGTGTTATCAACTTCTTTCAATGAAATAGTTGACTTTCCCCCTCAATATTCTACTCACAGATTACATAATGGCATCAGTGCTACACTAGCAGCTTCAATATACCATAGGAAATGTTGTGAGAGTTTCTGGTAGATGATTAAACCTTATAAAACACTTTCTTAGTTGAAAGAATGACATTTGCTGGCTTGATATAGGCAACCCATTTAAAAGAAATTTGTTATGTGAAATGATATGTTCTAAATTCAGCAGGGTTATTACAAATCTTTGTTCTGCAAAACTTGCTAAATTGTTTACTCCATACAGTGCTTTGTGTGGTTAAAAGGCATGCTAGCATTAGTTAATTCTCACAAAATCTTTGAAATTAGGTAAACATGTATTGTTATTTCAGAGTCATTGAAAAGAAAAGGTGATCTATAAATTTAAAGGTTGTATGATTTACCCAAGACCAAACTCTGATTCCAGTGCTGCAAACTAAACTCCTCTGTGGCTGGAACATTTTGCCATCTGCAGGTGTCCTAGGTGGCCATGTAAAACCAAATTCTTGTCAGCTTATGTAGGTAGAGGTAATTGTCCTAATTTTTTGGGTTTGTCAGCTCAAACTTGCATATTTAAATTCCCTCTGTTTATTAGACTGAATGTAAATCATATGGAGAATGAGCCATACAGTTGTACGCTCATGGCTTATAATGTTGCTGGAAAAATGCTAGCAGGAATCCTGTAGGCATAAATTGACTTTGTAGACAGAGAGGCTGTTGTTGAGCCTAGATGGAAATATACTGCTGAAGCTCCTATGGCACTTTTTTTATTACAGCAGCAGTGTGCCCCTTTGTCCTTGGTTGAAATTTGCTCTGTATTCATTTTTGGCAGTGTTTAGAGTAGCAGTTGTCAATCTGTATGTGGCCTTACATCCCAGAGGGAATTGCACTTCATTAGTATTTTAACTATATAATTGAATGTTGTTCAAGGATTGTTTCAGACTGATATACAAAACTGGTCATTATACTTGTATATTACTTCATAAAGTTAGGTTGAGCTACATACAGTAAAAAGACATTTAATTTTACAGGAAGGGAAAAAATAGCTCTAGAAAGTTTAGAGGTTTTTACCCTTGCAGGGAAGATGCATTGCTGTCAATTCTCTGAAGCGTGTGCAGAATTACTCTTAGTTTAAGTAATATTCCCTGGAGTAAGAGGACAATATATGTGTCTCTTTTTCTTGTTCATAACCTTTAATAGTAATGCAGATTTTTTTTTCCTCCTCCCACCTACCAAAATGCTGCAAAACCAGAGCATCTGGGGAAGAGATTTGGAGTGAAAGAGCAAGCACTTTGAGTAGTAATCAGGCATGACTTCTCTCCTATGATCACTCACCTATGACAGCCAGCAAAGACAAAGAGATAGTAAAGATGCTGCTAGGTTATTAAATACTGGCCAAAAATTGAGCCTGAAATTTTCTAGCTGCTGTTTCACTTTTTGCTTTTAAGAGTTGAAGGGAGAATGTCACCAACAGTAACACTGTGGGGTAGAATGAAAGATACAGTTTCTACTACCTTACAAAGAGAGTAAGGTTCATCCTCTTATAACCTCTTATATCAGCTTATCAGAGGGTTTGTTTGAATAAGTCCAATTTGAAAGAATGTCTAATATTTTTTCAGTCTTTTAGGAAATGTTTGCTTGGGCTCTTGCATGGACCAAATGCACAATTATTGCACCTCAGCAGAGATTTGCATGTGATCTAACTTTCTCTAATGTTCCCATAAACATCTTTAGACAAGATAAGTCATGCATCACTGTGCTTTAATGTTTATAATTTGGGAGGTGTTAAAATAGGTTTCATTGGATTACCCAAGCCAGGTCATGATGAGCATGGCCAAGTGTTTGACTTTACAGAGCCATGTTGACTGTTCCTTCTCCCAGGCTACTTATTGCTTCTAAGTGTTTGGATATTAACCTGCATGGAAGGAGCTTTCCTGGGATTATTCAAACTCCTGTAGCATAGGTATTTCATCCTGTTCAATAAACAGAGATTTATTTCTTGGTCTGTATATTAATACATTTTGGTGTGCATGGCATTTGCAAACAAGCAAATTGAAATGAGTATTAGTTCTCCATCTGTCAGCTGTGAAATAGCTATTAAATAAAGATATTAATCTGTCATGTAGAATTAAGATAGCTTCCTGCATCTTACTTGGCATCTTGCTACTTTAATGTGAATCTTTCACTGAGTGTGGGATTAAAATACAGATAAATAAATCTACATGGTTTATAGGCATATGAGATATGTAGGCTCCTATTTAAACTCAGGTAAATCTTTGAGGCTCAGAGAACAATGCATTTCCCTGAATTAGTGTTTAGTGCCATTTGAGGTGCCTGGAGTTACTAACCACCACTGTAAGCCCAGAAGGGAGTCCAGGCCCTATGGGAAGTCTGTTCCCATCAGAAGAGGCAGCTGGAGGTGTGGCATAATAACTTATGGTATCTAAGATTGCACCATGCGTTTTTTTTAGGCCACTAAATTGAACCCTACATTCAATTTTCTCAACCCTACAGCAGTTGAAAAAAGCTGAATCGCTCTCCAGGAAGCTTTAACTGTGTTCAGTAGGGGCTTCACTCTTATGCCTGTTGGAGCTGGTCAAGGCTGAGACATCCCTGAAAGAATGACAATTGTGATAAAAAATTGTGGGAGATTTGTACTTCTGGAGCAGCAGCTTAAGGCCAAACCAATACCAGTGGTGCTAGACACCTGCTTAGAAAGCCAAATTGCCCCCTGCATCTCCAGTGATTACAGTAAAAACCTAAGATACCTGCTGCACCAGAGACACCTAAATGTAAGTATTTTAATCTAGAACTGAATCCTGTACTGAAAACGCGGTGGTGTTTGTTGGTTGTCTTGCCATGATTGGAATGAGTGGCGTGTTTTGCTGCTCGGTGGGTCGCTGCTTGGTTAGGTGTGGGATTTTGTTCTTTCTGAGATAGTCAGTGTCTGTGATTTTTAATTCCTTTTTTTGCTTTTTCTGTCCTTGCATTTATGCTATTCCTTTTCTAGGTTGATTGAAAAGTCAGATCTTTTCTGATATGTTTCTTAGAGCTTTTGCTTTGAGCGTGGGTCTTATTGAGTACTTTGGGATATTTTGGTGTTGCCTTTTTTTTATAGTTTTCTTGTGTTGCTGGACTGTGTTGTTCGTGTGCTATTGTGAGTGCTTTTAATGGGTTGCTGTGTTTCTTGGGTCAGTCAGTTGATTTTGGAGTGTGGTTGCCCGGTTTGGTTGGAGTTCTCTGTGTGATCCTGTTTTTTTAAATGCTGGTGTGTTTTTTTTTCGAGTAGGCC